AGATCACACATTTGGCTCTATCCAAACACTTTCCAGTTCAACTTGCCAAGCAATTTAACAGTTAGTGATCTCTTTCTATCAAATTTAGACATTATTAGGAGCAATGTATTCTTCCCAAGAGCTAAAGCCAATGACCAAGAACCTCCTGCCATGTAGCAATGAGGGAGCCTTCCTTAGAATTTGAAAGTTCCCTCCTTACTGACAGGTTTTTGGATTCATTAACTAATTTTAATACAGTTAACGTGAGTTACGACAAATATGCTTAGGCAAAATCAATCTGATTAAGACAGTATCATTAGGATCAGTTTCAAGTGAATCACCCTGCAATTAACCTCTGTCTTGATTAGATTTTTTTCCACATACTGGCAAACACCTAATTTTTCTCATTCACCTTAGACTTGGCTTATTTCAACATTTGTTTAAGAACAAAAGAAGTAACAAAAAACCCCACCAAGACTGAAGTCAAAAAAAACAAAAAACAAATTAAATTAAGATTTTCTTACGCTAGCAGGATCTGCTAATTTCAGGTGTGTTTATTAGCCACTATTTAATATAATCCAAACTATAAAGAAGTACTGAATTATCAATGTAGTATAATTACATCATTAAAAAAGAGCAATGCCAAAACAATGCAGAATATTTCTATACTGTAGATGTCGCCTTGACACTTACCCACATCTTGTTCTTCTCCCCATGACAACTACAATTTCTTTCACTCAACAGCAAAAAGTGTGCAGGACTATCACTCCCTCTTACCATTTCATCTAAAAATTATAATATTAAATAAAAATTCATAACTCACAGATACATTTATCCCACATACACTATCTCTCTGTACTTCATACTATAAACAAAGTTTTAAAAACCCTGTGATGTACATCCTCATCTATTTAACTGAAAGAACTTGTGAAGCAAGTTGTGAAACTTGTGAAGCTTGCAAGTTGTGAAACTTCTTCCCTGGCTATTTCCTCTGATCTTGTCCCATTACACAATTTGTCATTACAAAAGTTTACTTTCACTTAACAGACTAATCCTAGACATTTTAAAAGGTATAGACTACCAGTGGTATTTGAAATTTGGCTTTTCAGGCACTGTAAAAATAATACTAATTTAGAGCAAAATAATATCCACCAGGTTATCATGTCTAGTTTTTTTTCAAATTTTCACTTTATATTTTAGATTTGGACTATTTAAGTTTAAAATTAGATGTATTCAAGATAAAATGTTACTCGGTCCATTGAAAGAAGTATTCAATCTAAAAAAAAAAAAAAAACACTGCAATATGCAGAAAGAGATCCTATGCTCCTTCTCAGCATCATTTGCAAAAAGCTGTTCTCCCTATGCTTCATTCACAAAAGAGAGAGACAATTAAGGGGGGAAAAATTTTTGCTCCTTAATCAGCCTCTTATTATTTCAACCTCTCTTCACAGGTCTTGGATCAAACCTTTTATTCTCAATACTATTTTCTCCTGAACTCTCCACTTCAGCAAGATAATTTTGATTTCTTGGTGTGCATTAAGTGCATGGTTCCAAACTGGACACAATGACCCAGCTGACTCCATTTCTACCCTAGGTTGTCCAGAGAGATCTACATCAGTTTTACAGTGCTGAATGACAGCACTTTCATTTATTCATCCTGGTGTGATGTTACATTCTCAGAACTACTTTTTGTGCATGATACTCTTGATTTAAGGTAGCTCTTAACCCTCAATTTCTTTCTTCAGAACTCTCAGCCATTCCTTATCCTGGACTCCCCTGTTTTCTTTTTCTTTAATTTAAAATCAGGATTTTAAATTTGCCCTTAATGGCTTGAATCCTGTTTTTCCCTGCTCATTCTAATTTCTTGCTTCGTGTTAAATTCTCCTCCAATCTTCCAACCTCTCTGCAGTGTCTCAGCCTGGTATCATTTTTCACTGCAGTAAAAATGTGTGTCAATGGATCCATTAGCATCCTCTTTTCTTGAAAAGAAAAACATAAAAGACTGTTGTTTGTGCCTCTGCATCAGAAATGACTTATCTAGAACACACTTTTAATAAAGAATATAGTTCAGAGAGACAGAGAAGCAGGAAGCAATCTTTCAAAGAAGAATCCAAGCTAAATGCCTACCAGGATAGAAGAGCACACTGAAGCCAAATGTTAGAACAAGAAACACTTTGCTGATCCTCAGGCAAGAGGGAACGTAGCAAGTAAGATCAGAGATTCTCCAGAACCACAGAGGCAGAGTTCTCATAAAATGGCAGGGCTAAATCAGCAACATACCCTCCTGAAAAGGTATTTTCCATCAGGAATCATACACTGATCTATTTAGATATGTAGAAACAGAGAATATGTATCTGAGATTTTAGGTGCCCTTACAATAAATAAAACTCAAGATATACAGGCCTTTTCCAGAGATTAGTTTATCTTGAAAAGCCCACTGCAGATTAATCTAACTTACAGAATATCCAAGAAAGGATAAGAAAGTGTTATAGAATGCAATAAAAAATGTTGATTTTATCTTTATTTCTCAACAAACTACAAAACAGCAGTTCATGGATGGAATGGATTAGACTAAGTGTGAAATATGATTTGGGGAAAAAAAAGGAAAGGCTACCATGGAAACATTTTTATATCTGAAAAGAATCAGGAAAAAATATCAAATAAGTATATGGATGATAATACAGTTTCCCCAAGCCATACTGTGATAGCAGAAAATAATTCCAAATGCACTCTATTACAAAATCTGACCAGAAGCAGGAATCCAACACGATCCATGGATTGCATAATCAATATTATGGGGAAGATTTCACCTCACTGTAGCGCTCAGTTACTTGTGTCAACCCACCAGCACGACCTAGATCTTGCCTAGACACTGAGCCCAAATCTGCTTTCCTCCACTGCTCAATCTCCCTCTGTAGTTGAGCAATGCATATACCAAACCACTGGCTTAACTATAGCTCCAGGCACTGCAGTTTATAGACCTGCTCAAATCCTTTTAATTACCCTCCCACACAAACTAAACAGAAAAGGCAAGAAGAAGTTTTCAACCACTGTGTCTCTTTCTTGCTACAGAAATGAGCACATCTCTGCTAAAGACAGTCACACCATCACCACAGCTTCCGGACCAAGCAAGGTGGTGTGAACACAGAACAACAGGAAGTACAGAAGCAAGTGATTACATATGCATGCATGCCTGCAAGCAGGCTCTCACAAGGAAACAGATTTTAATTTACAAAACTTCAAATTAAGATACAAATGGTTCTGTTATCTAACATCATGTACAAGGGACCAGCAAATTCTGACTACAAGTGAGGTTTTGAGAAGTCATGAAAATTCTTCTACCTTTGATTCATTTTCAGAGCCTGAAGCACACATATACTACACATGGGGCTGGAGAGTTGGAGCGTGGGGTGGGGGAAAGACTGTTACAGATTTCGTAGTTACCTGCTAGGATTTTTTTCCCTCTGAATCATTGTTTCTACTCCACATCAATAAACCATTCTGACTAACTGCAATGGCTGGGTGGGATCTGGCAAGATTATCTTCTAGTCTGAAGCTTCCACAGACGCCTGTTTTTCTCCAAAGTCACATCATGTATTCCCAGCCTAACAACTTCAAGAGAGTGTTACCACAAACTGCTGGGCAAATCCACTGACTGGCAGCTGCCTGAAGGGACAGGTTTATGCTCCCACACAGCCACACTTTGCTCCTGCCTGCAGAATCTCTCTGCTTCTTCTGCACCATTTGGACACTTCTTTGAACAGTCATCTGAGCTGATCCATCCCAAAAGCCAAGAACCAAAACGTTCCCTCTGGATTTGTGAGGTAAATCAGTTAACTTGTTTCAGTAGGAGTCAGAGAAGTAAGCTAGGTTCAGGAAATGGAAACAAGTCCTCTCACCAAAAGGAAGCAGTCAAAACAGCTAACCCAGTTTCAAGACAACTATCTGGACAATTGGAAAGCTATCACCAAATTCTTTGTTCTGGCCAGAAGGTCCCTAGAACATTATCTGAAATCCCACTACAAACTTTTTTGGTTTTTTGTTTGTTTTTGTTGTTTTTTTGTTTGTTTGTTTTTTTTTAATAAACCATTCATTACACTCTACAATACTACCGTACTTCTAAAGTTATAAGTGCACAAAATAAATCAAAATAATTGAGAGCACTTTAGATGTTGCCAGCTTGACAACCACTAGTGAAGTTGGGTGACCTGTAAAAGCATCAAATCTGCAACAAATTTGCTTGAATTCTTAGTCTAATTTGTTCAATTGTAGAAGTTTAAGAAATTTGCACAACTTTCTTATCATAGTTAAGAATACTGATCATAACAGTCTTTTCTACAGTTGCATCAAAAAAATAATAATGTCACAATATGCTTGGTTTTCAAGTTCACACCCAGATTCATATTTCAGTGAAGTTCACGTCATTCTTTAAGCATTCTTCTCAAAATGAAGAGAGTTACCTTTCTGCTAAGTTTTATTTAAATAAAAAAAATGTGTCCTCAAACATGACTATTATGGTACTTGCCCAGACCTTCAAAATCATAAGAATCTGAAGCACTGGATCTGGGATATCCAGAGCATGCAATACTTTCCTCCCACAACACCTTAGTTGCTTATAACTCTTGAAAAACTTCATGGAGTAGGGCCTGTGCCCAGCCTCTGCAGAAGACAAGCTTACGTCTGAGAAACACATGTAACACCTGCAACAGAGATGGAAAGGGCCCAGAAATACTGCCAGAGAAATACAGGATTTTGTACGTAAGACAGAGGGTACATAACGAACCTACCAAAGAATTTCTCTTTTCAGAGATGAGAGGCAAAGAGGAGAAGGGAGAGAAATAGGTGTACAGAGAAACAGTGAAATGGGTATCTGACTGACCCACTTTGCCAGTGATCACTGAAAAGTGAAGGACCTGACCTCTCTTTTGCAAAGTTTCCTCTTCTCAACTGACAAAGACTTATCAACAGAAGAGCAGTTTCCAATTGTGAAGGCAACATCATAAAGGATGAGATGTACTTACAAGCAATAATTTTTGTTCAAATTAATACTTTCAGGGATTCTTCTTCCTCACTTTCATTTTGAAGCATAGGCAAGTCTCTGAAAGTAGAAGAGGAAAAGCTCATCAGTTTTTATCACAGAATCATTTAGGTTAGAAAAGCCCTTGAAGATCAAGTCCAGCCATAAACCTACCACTACCCAGTCTACCACTAAACCTTGTCCTTAAGGGCCACACCTACATATCTTTTAAATTCACCCAGGGATGGAGGCTCAACAACTTCCCTGGGCAGCCTGTTAGAGCACTTGACTACTCTTTCAGTGAAGAAAAAAACTGCTTTAAACAAAATCTTACTTTGTGGTTATCAAGGCAAGGAGTTAGAACATCATTTCCTAACAGTTGTCTCACTAATTCAGAATGGCAGCACACCACAGAACTAAACGTTGATTCCTGGCCACTTAAGAAGAGCAATCAAAAGCTGCACTATCAGACTCTGAAACAGCAAGAAATTTGTTGTTGAAAAAGCTTATTTGTGAACATGATGGGAAAGGGGAAGGGGAAGGAAAGGGAAAGGGAAAGGGAAAGGGAAAGGGAAAGGGAAAGGGAAAGGATAAACAGGAAATCAACTAAAGCAACAATAGTACCAGGAACAAAGGAAAAAAAAATATAAATGCTTCAGATAACTGACTTTTACTGCAATGAGAATTCGGCCAAATTAGTATTATTTTTGAATGAAAATTAAGTGATTTTCTATTTCAAAGAGAAGCTTCAGCAGCTGTACTGTTAAAGGTGAACTGGCAACGTTAAAGCTGTCAAAAGCAGCAACAGTGATAAAAAAATCTGAATTCTCTGTTTTCCTATTCATGTAATAAATTGTTTAAAGTAATCAGCACCTACAAAGTCAGAGCCCATGAACTTCCAAAAATGGAAAGCCTGAGGGAAACAGGGAGATAGCCTATTTTCACTTCTATTCAAGATTGATAGTCTGGGTCTTCTTTGGCTAAGGTACTCAATGAAAAGGTTATAGCTTTTGCTGTGATAAAGTATCTCAGAAACTCTAATCAAAAAATACAACCCAGTTGCTCCATGTATAAAAAGCAAAATCAGAAAAAATAAACTCATTATTTTATTGTAGCTCTCATCAAATCAGCTGCACTGCCTGCTTCACAAAAATTGAAAAATTTCAGCTGAAGGTGACTCAAGAAGCCAAGCAGAACAAAATTCAGAGTCCACATGCTGCAAGAGGTAGCCTTACAGGGAACACATTACAGCATGGTCTAGAATGATGCTTAGTCTTACTTTTGTATGAAACATTAATGATGTGTTTTCTTACAAGTTCATGCTTCCAACCTCATTAACAAGTAGAAGGTAGCACATTATGTGAGCCATACATATGGAAAAATAGATTTAGACAGATTGACTCATGGTAAACATGAAATAGAAACATTTACATTTCATATAACGAAAAGAACTATTACTAAATTTACAAGTTGATTTATTTGTAAGCAACAGAATTGCAAGCAGTACCGAAAGGCCTTCCAGTCCTACCAGGCTGGGCAAATCACCATGCCCTACATTACTAATAGGACAGAAATAAAGCTCTTTGGGTTTTTTCCCACAGTTCCATAAAAAGAATACAGTCACTTTACATAAATTGTGATTATCTTAAAACAGCCAGTCTACTCTGAAATATTCAAAGCTATCAAAAAGTTTACAATTTTACAGCCCAGTATTGCTAATAAATCCCTGAGATTTTAATTCTATTCATAATGTAAAAACTGGAAGCATTTAAAAAAAATCTTTGCATTTCTGCTTCAACCACCTCAAGATTATTTACAAATATCACTAATTAGACAGCAGCTCCTTCCAGATAAATTTGATCTCTTACACAGATCTTTTTGGAGACAAAGGTCATGAAGTGAACTTATGGATAGAAAATTTAAGTTATATGCCCAGTTCTGACTTTAAATTGCTGTGTGCACAAAGACTAGTCATTACCTTTTTTCTCTTTTTCTTTTTTTTTAATTAATCTATTTATTAATGTATATATATATATATATGTATATATATATTCTTATAAAGGATTCAATAATGTCTGCAGTGTTCAATCCAGTCTCCTGCATGACAATCAAAATCAAGTTCAAAACATTTCATCAACACTTTTCATGTAATTTAAGTTGCATTTCAAAAAGACACAAAATTTGAAGGCACAAGAGCAAGGTAATAGAGTTCAAGGATGCCACGCTTTAGTGATTGTAACTACAGATGTGTTCGACAAAAAATACCTGCATCATCTTAGGAATACAGAGGGTTGCAGCAAGGAGGAAGAAAAAAAGGAAACACTTTTCCCATCCTTTCTCCATTTGACTGGGGCAAACTGATTTAATTCTGAACAGAGACACTAGACCCATATGCCAGGCCAGGACTACTGTCCCAATACCACAGGACAAATCAGATACATCACTCAAAATCCCACCTTTAGAGAATGCAAATTGTCTCTGCTCGGAAGAATATAAAATGTGCACTAAGAACAGAAAAAATAAAAACAATAAACATTCCCTTCAGACATGGACAGGATACCAGTGGTAGATCTGAGGAACAGAATTTGAATAAAAACCTGAAAACTTTATGACAAATAACAATCATATATTTCCTTACCTGCTCTATCCTCTGAGTCCAGGATCAACCTCATCATCTTACACAGTATTCTTAGATAAATACATAAAAGATCATCTTGAGCCACTAAGTTTCTTTCTCCCCATTTCTGGGACTAGACCTCATCCTCTGATTTTCAAACCTCATCCTCCGATTTTCAAATAAGATTTCTCCATAAATTTATGCCTCAGATAAATTTATTTTCAGATGTTTCTCTCCCATATATGCCCTCACACCCAATAAAGACTACTGTTATTTCTTCCCGGGTCCTACTTGCCAAATGCTTTCTTTCTCCTTTAAGAAGACAAGTTCAGCTTAATCACACTACCAGTTCTTTCTTATCCAAATGACTTGCTCTTTTCTGAGTGTGACTGTGATCAGAGCTAATGCCAATCTAAATGTAAATCAACGAATGCTTTATTGGCTGGTCCTAACAATCTGTTTTTAAAAGTCAGAAGCCAGCTGGTGTGGTTTAGAACCATGTTACTCTCACCAAGCCACATCATCTGAGAAGGAAGCGGATCAGGAGCTGGGTCATACAACAGCAATCTGCCCCTGATCACCAGTCTGGGTCTATCCGGAGTTCTCGCCAGTGCTCAAGTACGTGAATTTGCAACCTATTTTTTATTTATTAAACATTTTCTATTACTCTAAACACATAAATCTACTCCCAAACATGGTAATTCCTACCTTCTCTAGTCCAAGCAATTTCTGAAGCACACAGACCAGCTTTTTAATAAAGTCACCCACATTTTCCACTGCCAGCTCTACAGTTTCAAGTTTCAAGAGAAGTGACTGAACCTATGTTAGGGAGAACACTGCATGAAACGAATCTATTTTAAACAACCTAAAACATTTAAACACAACAAAACCACTTCCAACAAAAATCAGTACATTGGTAAAAAAGAAATGGAAAATTATTCCTTTTGTAAGTCCAAGTGAGGCTGAGAACATGATTTTTCCAGTTTTAAGAGATAATGTATGTTTCTAATGGAGAAGAAGGCATATAACTGAAAAAGTGAATTTCATTTCTCCTATACCCATCAATCCATTTGCCTGGTAGCACTGCTAATTGCTGGTACTAAGCAAATTTCCTTAAACAAATATGGAAAGAAAAACATCCCACGGAGACAGAAGGAAAGCTAATCTTTTTAATGTATATATTTAAAAAGTCATATAGGGTTTTCTATATACATTACATAATGGTTTGGGGTTTGGTTTTGCTGCTTTTTTTATTCAGAGTTCTTACTGCTAAAAGCTAAAAAAGCTGGCATATGCAAGGTACAAAGTCAAATCATCAAACTTCTACTGCACAGAGAAGCAGCTCCCAGGAATCATCTGTTTTGCAGAGAAGGGCGCAGGATTCTTTCTGCAGTTCAGTTTGGTACAGGAGATTCCCCTTCAAATAAGCTTTGATTACCACTGGTTTGAGAAGGACATAGAAGTTGGTCAATGAAATTCCACTTTCAGTCAAGCCAGATCTGGGAGCATTATTCCTCCATATTCATCAAAATAAGCAGAAAATACAAAGATCTCCCCACACTTGTTTTTCTTCGTAACACCGTACTTTGCCACTTTGACCTTGTTCTAAGAGTACACCATTTTTAACAGCACAAATAACATAGAGGAACAAAATTTATTATCATTAAGTGCTTATCCTTTAGAGAAGGAAATATAAAATAGTTGCTTTAAGGTACAAAGGTTCTTTGTGATATTGAAATTTTGACACCTAATGGTTTTTCAAGGCACAAACTCAGAGCACTCTACAAAACTGATGCAGTACACAGAACAGTGCACAATCTGCTGACTTCTTTCATGGACGTATTAAAGGGCCAAATGAAGAATTAAGTTACAAAATAACATCTCAAATATAAGCACATTTTTAACCTATCCACCTGCCAGGAGGCAGGTGACTCAGAAGGTAATAAACCTATTATTGCACAGTTCTCAAGTTCTTTCCTGCTCTTCTCCTTCAAGACACAATGGCCCAACCACTTGACTCATTTCTCCCTTTTATTTACATGGCCCTAGCTGACACATCCCATCATTCCTGGAAGACACATCACTGTTGTTCAGTGTCTGCAGGCCTACATTTTTCACTTTACAGAGTTTTCTGTATGCTAGAGTAACATTGCTAACGCATTACACTATTGCATGTGTAGTGCAAATTTGGGGAAAATTTGGAAAAACACTTCAAGCACTGGACCTCTTTTCGTTCTCTCAAATCCAGGAAAACATATGCTTCTTTTCCCCAGAGTTCCACTTTTTCTCAGCCATGTGAAGTGCCATCTGTGCTTCCCAGCCTGGCAGGCTAAAACTCTGCTGTCATTCAAATCACCAGTGAGCAAATTAAAGGCAAAGACTGTCCTCTTTAATAAAATAACAAGACTTACGAATGGCAACCTAGATCACAGCTCCAAAGGAATGAGTGGTAAGCGTGGGTAGCTAAAGGGTCACAGGGAGGAGAAGGTGGCAAACAGTAGAATATCTCCAGAGCTTCTTTGCAAACTTCTGTTTCTCAGCAAGCTAACACAAGAACTATGGGAATAAAAAAAGGGTGGCTGCAAATCTCGGAAAGTAAACAAAAATATAACTCAACTGACACAACACATCTCGTGAGATACTCCATCCTGTTAGAAGGCATACTTGGCTCAGGGAGGACAGATAGATAGGGTGGGGCAGGAAGACTTCTCCTGAATATCTTCAAATTAGTCTGCTCTGAAATACAGAATGTAAAAGAAGCTAAACACTCCACATAACATTAGAATGGGGAAGTTACAATGAGCAGGAAAATGTAGACCTTCTATAAATTACCAAACCAGAAAATTTAAGTGGATGAGGGAGTTGGATGGACTGTTGAGATTATTTATTTTACTGTTTTGTGGGGTTTTTTTGGTTGTTGGGTATAGTTTGAGTTTTTTTCTAGACAGCTGGCAGAATCATTCAAAGCATAAGATTTAATATTAATGATTCACAGAGTTAGGAAGCAGATCACAGATAAAACTGAATTAACCTCTAGTCAGTAACTGGCTTAACTATTGCATTTACAAAAGTTAACCTGAAAGGTTACATCAATATATTAACGACTAAAACTTTCCCAGACACTGAAATGCAAATCGTCATGTCAGAACAAGTCCTGAAATACTTTTGATAAAGGCTATCTGCACTCTCCCAACCTCTGGGAACAATCTGAGGGTTATCACATGGCTGGGAAAACTTCCAACAGCACTGCGCACACAGCTACCTGTTTTAAGGCTGAAAGATTAACAGAAAGGACAAATCTCAATCTGTGCCAGCTGTCCTCAGAAACAGACAATGGTCCACTTTATTAGTGATGATGCAGTCAAAAGGGATTTGAAATCAAACCAGCTTAAGGAAACTAAAATTAAGTGCAGATAAAGTCTGGAAAAGTACATTTAAAAAGAAAAGAGGAAAAAGTAGTAACTATCTTTAGAAATTCAACCAAAAGAATGAGAAAATTTAAAGGAAAGAAAATCACACAGAAAGAACACTCTGTGGACACTGGCTAATGAATGAAAAGACTGGGAAAAAAGCTGTCAGGAAAACCCAGTTAAGAATGTTGTTAAGTGAGAATACAGTCAACATATAGAAGAAATAACAATCTACAAGCTGAAATGCTGGCAAAACCCATTCATTTAAAATCAGGTCAAGAAACAATTTTTTTTATTTTTAAAGGCTTTGAATTTGAGGGAGGAAATTGTTCATTCAGTACAGCCTCATGTTTATTTGTTATCAGTTGCAGTAATTAGTTCAAAAGAGAAAGTCCATCCTACTAAAAGACAATGTTTGACAGTCACAGGGAAAAAATCAGCAATCTTCACAGAAGATAGTACCATACGTTTCACTGAAAAACAACTGTGATGTTGAAAACACAACACAAAGGAACATGGCTATAAGCCAATAAAAAAAAAAAGTCTTATTTGTTTCTGGTTCATATTTATATAAAAAAGGTAGAGAATCTTGCTATTAATTTTGCAGAATCATTTTAAACTGTGGAATTTTAATTCATACTATCAAAGTTCTCTCATAAAGCAGGTGAAGTTTTTTAAAAATTAAAAAATATACACCTTACACTGCAAATACCAGCTACCCCTACAAATACCGTTACTCAAGTCTTCTACAGTCAGAAAAAAATTATATTCAAAGAGATGTGAAGACACAAAACGAATCGAAACAATTAATTTAGTAAATTATGCACAAATTAGTATCTATGCACAAACTGAAACAATTAATTTAGTAAATTAAAAGAAAGAAGCCACATTTTCTATTGTGCTTCAGATGCCTCACCATTTTGTTTCTTCATTTTTTTCTACCTTCTGAAAAGGTAACTTCTTCAAACCTACCCACAGTGAGCACATGGTTTGATTTTGCTATGGAAATTATACTAGGAATTCGTATGTCATTTCATCTTTTCTTTAAAGCTTTTCAAACAAGAACCAAATAAAAATCATAGCACTTTATTTCAAAGTCTATCATCGATCAGATTGAGTGATTCTGCTTTTATTAACTGACTGGTCAAGTAGCAGTGCATTAACAAGATTGTGGTCAACCTCACTGCTGTGACTCAGACCCATACCAGCAGCTGTGCAGATTTCAAAGATAGTATCAATTCTGTACTGCTGCCACTGCTCCTCCGTGGGAAGGGTAAGAACAGATGCAAGCAGCATTCAGCAACCAGGAAGCTGAGAAAAAAAGGAACACACAACACTGCTTCCCTTGAGAGCAGTGCAGCTTCATGTTTATCAGACATGGTAAATGTTCATGCTTACCAGAGAGGTTAATCAAAGGTAGATCTTCAAACAAATCTTCAAAAAAAGTCAAGAAGACTATCAAATTTAAGATCCTTGGAATTAAGATCAAATAAGTGGTCAGGGATTTTCAATAACAAAATCTGAAAGGCCTTTCTGCAATGTCTGTTAGGTGCCTGATAATGAAGGAAGCTGTTTTAAATTAAATATTATCTGTATTAAATATAATTCCATCAGTATTCATATTATACAGAAAACCCATGTAATTTATATCATTCGGTGCAGCGGAAAATGCCTTTGAATATATTCCTTGATACTACACACCAAGTTTTACAAAACCTAAATGTTAGGGAAAAAAAACATGTACTAATACGAGAGTAAAATTCATTTCAGAGAGATCTGAGCTCTTTTAAGTTGCTGGTATTTGAAAAACTTTTGACATCTTTTCCTTGAGCAGGCTTCACCACAAACAGACTAAAGCAGCATGATATTAAGAGACTATTCCTTCAAATGTACACTTCGATGTTCCTCCTGAAGTGGTTGTTATTTTCCTATCTCCCACTTTTACTATCCATTGTATAACTTTCTTACTCCTCCCATGCTTAACTTATGAAAAAAATATTTAGCAAACTATATATATGTCCTTCCTACTTAGGGATAAAAAGCAAAAAAGTTACATGTTGATTTTTAATCGAGTTGAATTTCATCTTTTTTTTTCTCTTTCACTTTATACTGAAGGAGAGCAGACGGACACTGCAATGAATTTACAATGGGTTAAAGGCTCTACAAAAAAGTGCTTCATTCACACCCAAAGCAAGTATAGATTGGTAGTAAGTCAGGTTTCCCTACAATACCCAATGACTGTGGTACAAGCCACCCTATGTGACCAGTGTAATCTGGTATAACTACATATTTTTGTACATACCTCTATCTATATGCATTTAATATGGATAAGTTTAATCTACACTATACATATAACCCAGTTTTCAAACAGCAAAGAACTTTATAAATTGTACCAAGCACCACTTCTGTTTCCCTTTGTAACAGCTGCATCATTTAACCATAGATCACCCTTTCCCATCAGTCAAGAGATGCTGGCAGACACCAAGCAAAGAAAACAAGGCAGTACTCAAACACCAAGAGATACAGAATCATGAAAATGGGGTTTCTGCTAAATCCTGATCCCAGCACAGGACAGTAGGAAAAGAAAGGTAGTATATGAAGGAACTCTGGGAAACATGAAAGAAAAGACATTCAGACAACATAAAAAGAAATGTAATATGTAATCTTAAACCTGATATACAAGCAAAATTTCTAGCAGCTTTCACTGTACATTTAGTTTTACAGAGACACAGATGACATCAGTGCTGTCCATCACTGAACTCATTAGAGAGCCTACTGGATAAAGAAAGACAAACTTGTCACTACACTTCATACATTTCCATCAGAAAACAGAAAGTCTAAAGCTCAGAAAGTGCAAGACAAAAGACAGATGAGAGACAAAATGTTTTGCTGAAGCTCAAAATGCACCCTCAAAAACTAATGAGTCTGCCTTCCAAATATCTTTTCTCTACACACTGTACATGCTGTCACAAATTACACATGTGTAATTACTGTAATTAAGGGGAGACAGACACTTGTAATAGTACAAATGTCATTAGAAATCAGTTCAAATGACAATATTCCATTTTGGTTTACCGTCGTTTATTCTTATATACTGTCACACTGTATTTTTTTTATGTTAGCACATACTAACTGCACATCTGGGACTATCTACCTTCAAAATAACAGTAAGTCTTCACACAGCATATCCAAACACAGCTGAAGAATTCTCGGATGGGAATCCACGGTTCAGAGCATTTTTTTATCTACAGTCACATTTGACCTAACATAAGAATAAAAAAAAACCATAACAGAGTCCTGAACTCTAGATACAATTCAACCCAGGTGATGGCAGTTAATAAGCACTGTATTAATGAAATCTTTGCAAGCAAAAACCAAGAAAACAACTGTCCAAAGGAACGTTCCAAATGCTTCCATTTCACAGTACTAATGATTTTGAAAAGAACAGTTAAAACTATAACCTTTTTTGATAAGATATGTTTAAACCACAAAAATAATCATCAATTTCATTGTGGTTGCTTCTTCCAGGGACAGTAAGAAGTTAAGTACTACACAACAGTAGAAGACTTCAAGAGAAAAGCCACTAACAAAAGGTTAGCAATCTAAAGATTTCCTATTTGCTTATGACTTCAAGGAGGTCTTGCATAACAAAATGGCACAGAGAACATTAGGTACATAAGCGGGTTTCTACTGTCCTAGAAGTCAGATCACAGTAACC